TCAGTCTGAATCGTGCCGAGGCATCCTCGCAGGCTGTGGATATGCGGCGGGCATGCCATCGTTCGCGCGTTTCGAGCCTCGATGGGGGCTCAGCTATATTGCTCCCAAGGTCGCGGCCATGGCCCTGGACGACGATGTTTCACCGCAGTTCATCTCAGAGTCTTGGGGGGGATATTTTCATTCACCCTAGGGGTCGCATTCAAAGCCGTCGCGCGACGCCAGAGGTTTTGGGCCTGTACTCGTGCTGAGACGCCAGGATAGGTGGCGGAAAACAGGCATGGCAAGAGGCACGTCCAGAAAGTGGCGGACATGCACGGAGTTCCATTGTAGAGGGTGGACGCGTAAATTTGGACATGCTTTTGGCGGGTGGACGCGTGAAATTAATGCAAGATCGTAACCATTCTTCGGCTTCAGCACGCAGACGCAACAAGCTTTGCCGTTCAAAAAGCCACCAGCAGACGTGTTACCCGCTTCTGGCCCGCGGGTGCCCCGACGGCAACCGGGCGCGGCATGGGCGTTTCGGGCGTTACAGACGTTTGCCTCGGGTGTCTCCGCCAGTTTGCGTCAGTACTTGCAGGGGGGAAAACGCATGGAGGAGTCACCGCCTTCCTACTGCCTTAAACGGGCCCCCCTCTACGAGGCCACTTTGACGTCGCGGTGAAATGTGCTTCATGGACTTGGGTCGGGGGTTTAGCTTTGCAAGGGCCCGCGGGGCCCGGAGTGCGCTCAGCGACAACATAGGGGAAAACGCAGCATGGCAGCAAACATGGGGGCTCATGTGGGCATGCTGGCTATCTCTACTAAGTATCAGGTGGGCCATGTGGAGTGCGCGCGCGTTCATCGATGACGTGGGTAAGTGTTATTCTCTCCCCAGCACCGCTCCCCGCGACCTTGAGCAGATCCTCGTCGCGACGCCGAAACTCCTGGCGCACGCAGGCGCCTCCAGCGGGCATGATGTAATTCGGCGCAGTGCGCTGCGGAACGGCATCGCGGCCATCGAGGGCCCAGGGGAGACTTGGGCCATTTCAGCGGTTTGGGTCGATGTTGTTCCTCTGTCCGCCTGTCTCTCTGACGTGGGAAATCAGATTTTCCCGAGTGCAAAGTGTGCCAGGCGCCGAGCGGGACATGCGGACGCGCTTGGTATTGTTGCGAGGGGTTGGTTGACGGTTTGGGCAACGATCCGAGTAGCGAACCCGCCCCCGATGTGTCTGCGCCCCATACGGATTTTTTTGACCCGGTCTTCCTTTCGCAGTTGCCCGGAGTCAAGCATGCCCGAGGCCGCCAGGTTTAATTGGGCGGTCGTGCAGGGGCTTGATATCCTCTTGCCGTGTAGGGCCCAGTATAGGGCTCTCCCGGGCGAGCGGCCGACTGCTGGGCAGGCGGGGCGTTGGGCGGTCAGGCTAGCCGTGCAGGCCCCCCTCCCTTCTCGCTGGCTCAATTCCGACCTGCGGGCCGTGGCTCGCGAAAGGACCGGCCGGGGGGAGCCGGGGGGAGCCGGGCTCGGACTCAGGATTTCCAGGCATGGTGGCTTTTGGGGTGAGGTTTCTATTCTAGAGCTCCCATGGAGCGACCCTCCCTCTCTCCTCCGACCTTCACGTTATCGTCTTTGTCCTCGTGCTCGTCCTCGTCGTGGTTGTTTTTCTACTCTTCCGGCACCTTCTCTCACGCCTTCGGCTTGGCCTCCCTGAGCGCCGCTGCTCCCTATGCCCAGCCTCCGCCCGCGGTGCCGCCGCCTGTCCCCCTCCTCGGGCCACCCCTCGCCTCCCACCACTCCTCGCTCCCGCTGGCGTCCCAGAGGGGGGATGAGCACTGGGGGAGTGTGTGTGGATCTCGTGGCTCGGATCCTGCAGTCTCTCCGAATTCACGCCCACTTCTTCCTCTTCTTCCTCTTCCTCTTCCTCTTCTTCTTCTTCTTCTTCTTCTTCTTCCTCTTCTTCCTCTTCTTCTTTCAACACGCTGCCTGGTCCCGCCTCGTCCGCGCGCGTGCCTCGCCATGATGCGCACACCCCGTCTGCTTGGCCCTCCTCTTCGGCGCAGCCCTCGCTCCTCCCCCCTCGTCCTCCCGCTGCTGCTGCTGCTCCTCCGCCCTCCCGCCATCTTTGCCTCCCGCATGGTGCCGCCGCAGGTGCCCGTGGCGTGCAGCACCGCTCCCGCGGGCAGCTCGCCGCAGGGAGCGCGGCGGCAACGCGGGGAGCCCAGCAGCGGCCACGATCGCGCCTCGCTGGAAGTCGGCGGGCACGCATCCCATCCCCACGCTCCCGTTCCCGCGCCCCCTGCTCTCCAGGCCACCCAAACATAGTCGACACAGTTTTGTGGACGTCGACTAATGGAAAGGAAGCATGCCGCCAAATAATGTATAGATGTCTAAGATGTTTCAAACATGTTTTAAATATGTAAAAGCATGCTTGATTTTTGTTGGACATATTTTACACATGTTAAATACATGTTTAATTCAATGATAGGATTGTTAGAGTGTCCATTGTCATGGCATCCGCAAACATAGTTGGGATCGGCAGATCGCGTCGCATCGCTGATGTATCTGCGATGCGGCTCGACGTTGAACCATCTTCTCTCCACGCCGACTTCGCTGGTTGCTTCGTTCGCGATGCATCGGCCATTCGGTGTGATCCTCCGACCCCACCCGCACGGAAGCCATGTTGGCGGCCTCCATTGTCCCGCTCAACATGGATGGAGGGCAGAGTTTTTTTGAACGAGGCTATCGCAGGACGCGTCCTTGAACATTTGAAGTACATCGAAGACGTCTAAGGCGAAGCACCGTCGCTCCCCGCCTTTTGGAATCGCCCACGTGGCCGAGCGTTGTGGCAAGACCTCTGCCAAGCTATCGGACCATGTGTTCCCTCAGCCATTGTGGAAAGCCTTCGGGGAACATTTGGGTGAGGATGGCGGAGAAGATCAGGAGGAGGAGGAGGAAGAGGAGGAGGAGGAGGAGGAGGAGTTGGAGGAGGAGGAGGAGGAGGAGGAGGAGGAGGAGAGAGGAGAGGAGGAGGAGGAGGAGGAGGAGGAGGAGGAGAAGGAGGAGGAGGCAGGAATAATAGCAACATTAATAATACTATGACTTATACTAAGAAAACTAACAATAGTATTATTTGTACTACTAATAATAATTATAAGACTTGTATTTCTAATATTATTAATAATAATAATAATACTAGTAAGAGAAGAGGAGGAACAGGATGAGGAGGAGGAGGAGGAAGAGGAGGAGGAGGAGGAGGAGGAGGGGAAGGAAGAAGAGAAAGAGGGAAGAGGAGGAGGAGGAGGAGGGGAAGGAAAGAGGAGGAAGAGGAGGAGAGGAGGAGGAGGAGGAGGAGGAGGAGGAGGAGGAGGAGGAGGAGGAGGGGAGGAGGAGGAGAGGGAGGAGGAGAAGGGGAAGGAAGAGGAGGAGGAGGAGGAGGAGGAGGAGGAGGAGGAGGAGGAGGAGGAGCAGGCGGAGGAGGAGGAGGAGAGGAGAGGAGGACGGCTAAGGATACGGATAGGAGGAGAGGAGGAGCAGGAGGAGGAGGAGGAGGAGGAGGAGGAGGAGGAGGATGATGATGATGATGAGGAGGAGGAGGAGGAGGATCAGGAGGAGGAGGAGGAAGAACAGGAGGAGTCAGAGGGGGCATGGGAGCTTCTCGGGGGCTTCTTTGGCCGTCTCAGGACATTCCTGGTCGGCTTGAGGCCGTCGGAAGCCGTCTTCGGGGCCTCTGGGCCGACTTGGGGCCCTCTTGGGGTGCTTAAGGGCCTGGGCGTCTTGGAGGCCTCTTGGGCCGTCTTGGGGCCGTCTTGGGGCCGTCTTGGGGGCCTCTTGGGCCGTTCTGGGGCCATTTTGGAGGCCTCTTGGGCGATCTTGGGGCGATCTTTGGGTGATCTTGGGCCGTCTCGGATCGTCGAAGGCCGAAAGGCAGCAAATGCCAAAATCAAGGAGCAGCAGCAGGCAGCACCAGCCAGCAGCATCAGCAGGACCAGGAGAAGGAATGTGAGATGGGGAGAAGAGCATTCGACACAAACAGGTCGAAGTCGGGGCTGATCCAGTCCCGAAGGCGATCTCGCCCATCCAGTTTGCTTCTCCCTGACTGCTGCGTCGGAGTTGCCGAGCCTCGTCTGCCTGCTCCTCCTCGTCGTCTATTTGTTCCCCCAGTTATTCGTTTCAGCTTCTCCGAGCTCGTCCTCCTCCTCCTCTTCCCTCCCTCTTGTCGTTGGGAGCCCTCCTCCCTCCCTCTCTCCCTCACTCTCTCCCTCCCTCTCTCCCTCTCTCCCTCCCTTCCTCCCTCCTGCTTCCTGCTTCCTCCTCTCCTCCTCCTCCTCCTCCTCCTCCTCCTCCTCCTCCTCCTCCTCCTCCTCACGTCAGCTCGATTGACGCGGTTGGCCCAAGACGCTGCTTTCCTCAGCCTTTCAACGCAGATTTGAGTGCCTCTGATCCAAGCAGAGATGTTCCGCACAACGCTGGTGTGCGCCCTCCTGGCGGCGGCCGGCGCCGTGTCCACGAACAGCGCGTCCCGGTCGTCCCGGTCGTCCCGCGCGGACGTGGCGGCAGGCCAGCGCGCCAACCCGATCCGCAGGGTGGTGACCCTCCTGCAGAAAATGCAGAAGCAGGTGACAGATGAGGGGAAGACCGAGGAGGATCTTTACAAGAAGTTCAGCAGATGCGCTGTCGCGCGTGTCCGCCGACGCGCCCTGGGTGGGCGTGCGGAGGAGGCTTGGTAGGTGGCTGGTTGGGGGGGTGGGTCCGTGACTTCTCCACCAGGGGCTCTGTCATTGGCGTTGTTGACTTGGAAGGCCAGCATCGCAGGGACTTGGATCCCTCTAGGGTGCGACACATCGCCCCCTTTGGACACTGCGAAGTGACTGGACACACATCGCCCCCAGGTGAGTACAGCAGGGGACTGGACACACACACACACACCACTCGCTGTAACTCGCGGTGGCGGATGTGCTACTGCACCACCGGTAAGGGCCAGCTGGAAACCGCCATTTCGACGGCGGACGAGAAGATCACCAAGGTGACCTCCATGCTGGAGGAGGGAGAGTCGAAGAAGGCTCAGCTTGACTCGGACATCAAGAAGGCCAAGGCCGACCGTGCTGAGGGCAAGACGGCCCTGGCGACCGCCACCGCGCTCCGGGCCAAGGAGGCAACTACGTACGCCAAGGAGTCGTCTGACTTCCAGACCGACCTCTCTGCCCTTGCCGCAGCCATCAAGGCCATCGAGTCGGGCATGAGTGGAAGCTTTCTGCAGACACAGGCGGGCACCGTGCTGCGTCGCCTTGCCGTGGACGCGGACATGTCTGCGCCCGACCGCGACGTGCTCACCGCCTTCCTCGCGCAGGGGCAGGGCTATGTGCCCAAGAGCGGGCAGATCGTTGGGATCCTGAAGCAGATGAAGGACACCATGGGTAAGGACCTCTCGGATCTCACCGCCACGGAAGAGAAGGCCATCAAGGACTACGAGGCCTTGAGCGCCGCCAAGACGGCCGAGATCGAGGCTCTCACCTCGGAGATCGAGTCGAAGCTCGAAGCTTCTGGCGAGCTCGCCGTGGAGATCGTTAACATGAAGGAGGACTTGGACGACACGGCGAAGACCCTGCTGGAGGACAAGAAGTTTCTGGCCGAGCTCGAGAAGGGCTGCGACACGAAGACGGCCGAGTGGGAGGAGCGCTCGAAGACCCGCACTGACGAGCTCTTGGCCCTGGCTGAGACCATCAAGATCCTCAATGATGACGATGCTTTGGAACTCTTCAGCCAGCTGCCTGCGGCAAACCCCGTCACCGTTCCAGCGCAGCAGCGCAGGAAGGAGGAGGAGGAGGAGGAGGAGGAGGAGGAGGAAGAAGAAGAGGAGGAGGAGGAGGAGGAGGAGGAAGAGGACTAGCAATTCGGTACCTTCTTCAGTTCAGTGCGGTGGGGCGACCTTGTGGCCGTCTTTTCGTGCCTTGAGGCCGTCGCGGAGCTCTCCTGGGGCGGTTTGGGCTGTCTTGGTGTGTTCTTGCCGTCTTGGGGCTGTCCTGGGTGCCTACTGGGTGCCTACTGGGGCGGGGCCCTCCTGGGCCATCCTGATACTCTCAGAAGCCGTCAGGGGGCCTCCTGGAGCCCACCGCAAGTCGAGACGCATCGGAAGCCAACAACAGCTGCACTCATCTGATGTTCCATCGTTCTTCGCCTCTGGTAGCCTTGCACGAGGGCTCTCTGGGCGCCTCACAGTGCCTCTCTTGGTGGCATCTTGGGGCCTCTGTATGGTCGCTGGGCCTCTGTAGCTTGTCATTGGGGCCGTCCAGTCGGGTCTCGAGGCGCTTCTGGAGCTCTCTTGGGATGGTCTTGGCCCGTGAGGGGGGTGGGAGGGGGTCGCCCGTACAACACTGAGGAACTGAGGCCAGGGAACTGTGGCGTGTGCAGTTGCCACACCCCCTTGTCTTGCAATTTCGCGCTCCCGCCTCGGCGCCGCACACGTGCTTCTCCAAAGGTGGCATTCTCGCCTCGGCGCCGCGCACAGTTTTTGCTCACTTTTTCGTGGGGGGGTGGGGGGTGGGGATCGTGCCGCGTGCGCTGCACGAGAGACTCGGGTCCAGTCGGGCCTGTCCCCCTACAGGGGAATTTTGGACGAAACATGAGACATAACTTTTTTAATGCCCCAAAATATTCAAAAATGGTCAAGCTAGTCGTTCCCATATTGCTTCTTGACTGTTTTTGCATATTCCTTCTGTAGAGGGACAGGCCCGACTTAAGACTTGGGCGCCTCCACACCTCGACCTCTCGCCTCCGTTCTCCCGTCCTCCTCCCTCTCCTGCCAGCCACCTCCTCCACACGTTGCTGCGTTTGCTCAACCCATAGGCCGCACCGCATAGATGGCTCCAGGTAGCTTACACCATTTAGCTCACGCCGCATAGATGAGTACGCTAACTCCAACCACATAGATCGCACCACGTACGTTGCACCACACAGCCCACCCACATCAATTGCGCCATGTAGCATGCACCACATAGCTTACACCTCATGTTTCGTATCACATATATTGCGCTACATAGCTTACACCACACAGCTTGCACCACCTAGCTTGTACCACATCATGTATTTCATCACCTGGTCTGCTAGAACACACTATTTTCGGCCCACGCTGGCTAACTTATTGCAATTCCTGATCGATTCCTCTTGCGCAGCCAGCCGTCACGCTCTGACTGCAACTCTCACTGCAGCCATTATTACGGCTCTCGCCACATGTCTTATTATAGGCTCTTTCCTAGAAGAGGTCTTCTTTCATATTCAGCTACAGCCAGTAGTACTGCTTCCCCGCTCACATCTTGCACCGGCCCTTACAGCTCCTATTACGGATCCTAGGGCAACCCGTAGTACAGCTTTCAGTACAGCTCACATCGCAGTTCCTATTATAGCTTTTGCGACAGTCTGTAGTACATTCCCACAGCTCCCACTACAGGTCAAATCACAGTTAGTAATACAGCTACTTCTACTGCTACTGCTACTGCTACTGCTACTACTACTACCACCACCACTACCACCACCCACTACTATTACTATTACTACTACTACTACTACTACTGATTTTCATTATTACAATTAGTATTACTATTACTACTATTACTCTTACTGTTGCTATTACTATCACTCTGCTGATTACTATTACGATCACGATTGCGATTGCTATTACTAGTACGAGCAGTATTATTATTATCACTATTTGTATTTTTACTACTATTACTATTACTATTCCTATTTCTATTTCCACTTCTATTATTATTAATATTAGTACTATTATCATTATTGTTATTATTACGATTACTATTACTATCATTAGCACTATTACTATTACTATCACTATTACTATTTCGAGTACTAGTACTATGTTTAATTTTTTCTTATTATTACGATTCCGAATATTGTTATTATCATTATTATCATCCCACTGTTACTATTACTATTACTATTACTATGACTATTACTTTTACTCTTACTATTACTATTACTCCTACTATTACTATTACTATTACTAATCCTATTACTATTACTATCACTATTAGTACTACTATTACTATTACTATTACTATTACAATTACTATTACTATTTTTATTACTATTACTATTACTGATACTATTACTATCACTATTGCTATTACCATTACTATTACTATACTATTACTATTACTATTACTATTACTATTATTATTACGATCACTATTATTATTATTATCATTACTATTACTAGTACTATTCTTTTTACTCTTACTATTACTATTACTATTGCTATTACACTTACGATTACTATTACTATTACTATTACTATTACTATCATTATTACTATTACTATTACTATTACTATTACTATTACAACAACTACTACTACTACTACTATCACTATCACTATTGCTATTACTATTGCTATTACTATTTTTTACTATTACTATTACTATTTGTATTACTATTACTATTACTATCGCTATTACTTTTACTATTACTATTACTAGTGCTATTGCTATTGCTATTGCTATTGCTATTGCTATTGCTATTACTATTACTGCTACTATTACTATTACTATTACTATTACTATTACTAGTATTATTATTATTACTACTATTACTATTATTATTATTACTATTACTATTACTCTTACTATTGCTATTACTATTACTGCTACTATTACTATTACTATTACTATGACTATTACTTTCACTATTACTATTACTTTTACTATCACTATTACTATTACTATTACTATTACTATCACTATTACTATTACTATGAATATTACTATTACTATTACTATTGCTATTACGATTACGATTACTAGTACTATTATTATTACTATTGCAATTGCTATTACTATTTCTATAACAAGATTCTTATTTCTCGTATTCGTATTATATCTACTGCTACTGCTACCACTACTACTTCTACGACTACTGCTGCTACTCTTTCTACTACTACTACTACTACTACTAATTTTACGACTACTACTACTACTACTACTACCCCTGTTTCTCTTCCTACTACTATTATTACTACTAGCACGACTTCCACTACAGTTAAATCACATATCACACCACACGTCTCACTGCAATTCTTGCTGCAGCCTTGAGAACAGCTCGTCCTACAGCTCCTCGTACAGCTTCCTCTGAAGCTCTCACTTCAGGTCCTACTGCAACTCCTACGACAGCTTCTTTTATAACTCTTGTTCGAGCTCCTACACCAGTTCCCATTACAATCGGCAGTATAACTTCCACCAGAATGCGTGCTACCATTTCTAGTGCAGCTTATGCTGCACACCCTACAACATGTCTTAGCGTAGTTATAATTCAAATGCCCCGTGTAGCCAGTAGCACAGCTTTGACGTATGTGCCGACCATAGCCCCCACGCCAATCCCAACTACAACCAGCAGCGCGGATCCCAATTCAGTTGTCAATGCATTTGACACTACAGCTCCTAACACAGTTCCTAGTGCAGCCAGTGGTACAGCTCTCACTGCAGGTCCTACTGTAACGTATACAGCACATCTTAATATAATTCCCAGCGCAGATCTTTGTCACAGCCATGAGTACAGCTCCCGTTACAGCTGCTACAGGCAGTAGTAAAGCTGTCACTGCAGCGCTTACTACTGCCCTGTACTACAGCTCCTACAGCAGGCCGTGCTACAGCCCTCCTACAGCCAGTAGTACATTTCCCTTGAAGGCTCCTCTTCCTACAGCTCTCACTCGAGCTCCGATTAGAGCTCCTTTAGAGCTCCTGCAACAGCTCTTGGCACAGCTCCTACAACAGGTTCTACTACAGCCACGGATACAGCTCTCACTACAACTCTTGATACAGGCCCTGTTACAGCTGATGGTACACACTATGTGATACCGGAGAGAAGCCCCAATCATAATCTTTTGTGGGTTATGGTGCTATAGGGCTCTAGGGCTAAGGGGCTATGAGGCTATAGGGCCAGAGGGCTATAGGGCTGGTTGCCTGTTGGGCTATAGGGCTAGGGCTATCGGGCTATAGGGCTACAGGGCTATAGGGCTACAGGGTTATTGGGCAACAAGGCTATAGGCCTATTGGGCTATAGGGCTATAGGGCTATAGGGCTAGAGGGCTAGAGGGCCAGAGGGCCAGAGGGCCAGAGGGCTAGAGGGCTAGAGGGCTAGAGGGCTAGAGGGCTATATGGCTATAGTGCTATAGGGCTGTATAGGTTTATTTGGATATAGGGCCGTAGGGCTATGGGGCGTAGGGCTATAGGGCTATAGGGCTATATGGCTAGAGGGCTATAGGGCTATAGGGCGATGGGGCACCCGGGCACTGGGGCACCCGGGCGCCTGGGCGGGCCGCCGAAATCGGCGACGCAGCTCCCGGGCACCTGGGCACCCAGGCACCCAGGCACTCGGGCGGGCCGCCCAAATCGGCGACGCAGCTAACCTAATCATATGATACCGGAGAAAAGCCCCAATCAGAGTCTTTGTTGTTTTACCAGGACATGATTCGATGTTGCGCCCCTTGGACGACGACGGCGACGGAGGTGAGGACACCAACGAAATAGTTTCGAAGGTCTATGAGGTCTATTAGGTCTACTAGGCGTATTGGGACTGTGCAGTTATGGGGCTATGGGGCTATCGAGCTATAGGGCTATGGGGCTATTGGGCTATCGGGCTATAGGGCTATAGGGCTAGGGCTATAGGATTATGGGGGTATAGGGCTATAGGGCTATGGGCCATGGGGCGATGGGTTATGGGGCTATATGGCTATGGGGCTATAGGGCGCTATATGGCTACAGGGCTATAGGGCTACAGAGCTGTAGGGCTATAGGGCTATAGGGCTATAGGGCTATATGGCTAGAGGGCTATGGGGCTATAGGGCAATAGAGCTATAGGGCTATAGGGCTGTAGGGCTGTAGGGATGTTATTGGGCTATCAGGTTAGGGGGCTATAGGGCTATGATGGAATTGGGCTATAGTGCTGTAGGGCTATAGGGCTATAGGGCTATAGGGCTGTAGGGCTATATGGCTATAGGGCTACAGGGCTATAGGGCTATAGGGATAATGGGGCTATAGGGCTATAGGGCTATAAGGCTACAGGGCCATGGGGCTATGGGGCTATCGGGATATAGGGCTATAGGGCTATAGGGCTATAGGGCTATAAGGCTATAGGGCTATAGGGCTATAGGGCTATAGGGCTATAGGGTTATAGGGCTACAGGGCTTGAGGGCTGTAGGGCTATAGGGCTATTCAGCTATGGGGCTATAGGGATATAGGGCTATAGGGATATAGGGCTATAGGGCTGTAAGGATATTGGGGCTATAGGGGCTATAGGGGCTATAGGGCTAATTGGGGAATTGCAGACTCTGGTGCAGCTCTTATTGTCAGTCCCAGTTGAGCCAGTCATGCAGCGCTGTGTCATTTTATTGTCAGAACTCCGACTACAAGTCCAACTGCAAATCTCCCAATCCAGCTCTCAACGTTACAGCTCTTAATGTAGTTCCTACGACAGCCCGTAGCACAGCTTTCAGTACATCCTCGACTACAACGAGTATTGCATATCGAAATGCAGCTCCTAGTACGGTTCCTTGACACAGCCACAAGTACAGCTCCGATACACCCTCTACTACAGCCAGTCGTACAGCTACTACTAGTGCCTGTGCTACAGCTCCTATAACAGGCCGTACCACAGCTCCTGCTACAGACATTCGCACACCTCTCACAATTGTTGTTCTATAATTCTCACTGCAGTTCCGACTACAAGCCATACGACAGCTCCTTCTACAGCTCTTACTGCAGCCCCTACAACAGTTCCTACAACAGCCACTCTCACAGCTCTCACTACGACTCATACTGCAGCCTCTATTAGGTTGATGGTAAACATCTTGCTGCAGATCGAATGGTGGCTATCATTGCATTTCCGACTACAGCCAATAGTACAGCCAGTAGCACAGCCAGTAGGATGGCGTTTCATTGCATTTCTTTTTTAATTTCCAACTGCAGCCAGTAGTATTGATCGAGGCATCTCCCGAAACAGCGCTCGCTACAGTTTCTCGTTTCTCGTGCCGCCAGCAGCACAGCTCTCACTACAGCTCATGCCACAATGTTTGGTACATGTATTAATGCAGCTCCTGCTAAAGTTTCCGGACTCAGCTTCTAGTACGCCTCCCTTACTGCAATCGGTAGCGCAGCTCACACCACGACTGCCCCCACCACAGCTCCTGTATCAGGTCGTACCACAGTTCGTACGACAGCCATTAGCACAGCCCTCCCCACAGCTTTTACTACAGAGCTCACAGCTGCTCTTAGCACAGCTGGTGTTACAGCTAATACTGCGGATCCTGATACAGCCAGTAGTGCAGCGTTCTCTGCTTTCGATACGACTGCTTCTAATGCAGCTCCTATTCCACATCTTACAGCGAGGAGTAAGACGACGAAGATGGTCATGAAGAGGATGGGGAAGAGGATCGGGAGGAGGACGAGGAGGAATAAACGTATGATTCTGATGATGATGCTGATGATGATGTTGACCATGCTGCTGCTGATGATGATGATGATGCCGATGATGTTGATACTGATGATGATGACGATGACGATGATGATGATGATTAATATGATGATGTTGATGATGATGATGCTGCTGATGAGGATGCCGATGATGAGGATGATGATGCTGATGATGATGATGTTGCTGCTGCTGGTGATGGTGGTGGTGATGATGCTGATGATGTTGATGATGGGGTTGATGTTGATGTTGATGTGGATGTTGAGGTTGAGATTGAGGATGAGGATGATGATGATGATGATGCTGATGATGATGATTATGATGATGCTGCTGCTGATGATGATGCTGCTGATGATGATGATGACGATGATGATGATGAGGATGATGATGATGATGATGATGATGATGAGATGATGATGATGATGCTGATACTGATGATGATGATGATGCTGATGATGTGGATGATGCTGATGTTGATGCTGATGTGATGATGATGATTGATGTTGATGATGATGATGGTTGATGATGCTGGGCTGATGATGATGATGATTGCTGATGATGATGATGCTGATGATGATGATGATGATGATTGATGAGATGCTGATGATGATGATTGATGATGATGGATGATGATGATGATGATGATGATGATGATGATGATGATGATGATGTGATGTATGAGAGGAGGAGAGGAGGAGGCAGGAGGAGGAGGAGGAGGAGGAGGGGAAGGAAAGAAGGAAGGCAGAGGAGGAGGAGGACGCAGGAGGAAGAGGAAGAGAGCCGGAGGAGGAGGAAGAGGAATGGGGAGAGGGGGAGGACGAGGGGAGGAGAAGAGGAGGGCGATGGTGATGGGTAGGGGAGAACGACGACGAACGAGTACTCCTCATCTTCCTCGCCCCCCCCCCCCCCCTGAGAAGGGGGAGGAGGCAGGAGGGAGGAGGAGGAGTGAGGGGAGGAGGAGGAGGAGGAGGAGCGAGGAGGAGGAGGAGGTTTCTGAGGAGGAGGAGGAGGAGGAGGAGGAGGAGAAGGAGGAAGGAAAAGGAGGCAGAGGAGGAGGAGGAGGAGGAGAGAGGAACAGGAGGTGGGCCAGCGTAGGATCATGGTCACCAAACGCTGCTATTCTAATGGGCAACATCGCGGCCCGCGCGCGTGTGTGTGTGTGTGTGTGTGTGTGTGTGTGTGTGTGTGTGTGTGTGTGGAGCAAAAAAGTCCAACACTTACACCCGCCATTTTTGGTTGTTCGTTTTTTTCGTTTTTTTTTTTTTGCCTCCCCCCCTCCCGCTCCTTGGCCCCTTTGGGGGAGGGAGGGGAAGGGGGGGGAGAGTCACCACCCCACCCCATCTCTCCGCCATGCCCCACCCCCCGTCCCCTCTTGGAGAGGAGTCGTTACGCGAGCCTCTCCCACAGGAGGAGGAGGAGGAGGAGGTGGAGAGGGAGGGTAATGATAATTGCGCAAGGTGAGCTCTCCGCGGATCCGACAGAGCAAGTGACGCTTCCCACTAGGAGGAAACAGCAAGACAGAGAAATGACGCCTCCCACTTATGAAAGCGTCCACAGGCCGCATACTTCACGATCCCCATCCTCACAAAACTACCGGACAACCAGCAGGCGTTCTGGCGCGGCCCAACGTGCCGAAGGCATGATGGCGGAAAAAGACCCTTCCCACTCCGACGTTGATGCAGTTGCAGGTAACCAACAAGCAGGTGCAGACGGCGGCCTTGAAGGCCCTGCTCAAGGTCAAGAACCAGGACCCCCGCGTGGCGCTCATCTCTCTTGCGCTCCGCGGAGGGGCCAAGAGCTTCGACAAGGTCATCAAGATGATAGACGAAATGGTGGCTCTGCTTGGCGCTGAGCAAACGGATGATGATGACAAGAAGGCCCTGCGTGTGCTGAAGACGAACGGGGTGAGGGAGAGCGAGGAGTGAGAACGGGGAGCAGGAGAGTTCGCGCGCGAACTGAGAGGGGAAGGGTGGGGGAGGTCTGGGGGGAGTTTGAGGGGGGGAGGAAAGGAGGATGGGGAGTAGGTCTGCAAGGGAGACGGGGCAGCATAGACGACGAGGACAGGGGGACGGGGGGAGGGCAGCAGAACTAGAGAGGGGGCAATACCGAGGGTTGCAACGGGTTTCGCGGGGCCCAGCCGATTTCCGCTTGAATCCAGCAGTGCATCCATCCATGCAGAGATCACTCCCGACTTCTCCCTTCCTCGCTGGTCTTTCCTCTTCCCTCCCCCCTCCTCCGCCGCCTCCTCCTCACTCAGCCTCCTGCCTCTCCGCCCGTAGGCCTACTGCGAGAAGTCACTCGACGAGTCCGAGGACGACAAGAAGGTCCTGGAGAACACGATCGGCGACCTGGAGAAGAGCATCGCCACCACTGAGGAGAGCATCTCGACGTTGACCGAAGAGATCGCCGCGCTGCTGAAGGGAATTGCTGACCTCGACGGCCAGGTCAAGGAGGCCACGACGACTCGCGAGGAGGAGAACGCCTTCTACAAGAAGACGATGCAGGAGGACACCACCGCGAAGGACATCCTGAAGATGGCGAAGAACCGCCTTGCGCAGTTCTATCGAAGACGCCTACGGCGAATCACCGCCGCCCCCTGCCTTCTAGAATCGCCCATGTGGCCGAGCGTTGTGGCAAGAGCTGTGCCAAGCTGGAAACCCTTCAGGGAACACTTGGGGGAGGATGGCGGGGAAGATCAGGAGGAGGAGGAGGAGGAGGAGGAGGAGGAGGAGGAGGAGGAGGAGGAGGAGGAGGAGGAGGAGGAGGGAGCATCTTGGGAGCCTCTGGGGACACTCTTGGGGCCTCCTGGGAGCTTTCTGGGAGCCTCTTGGAGGCATCTTGGGGGCCTCCTTGGGGGCCATTGTGAGCTTCTCGGGGGCCTCTTTGGCCGTCTTGGTGGGCTCCTGGCCTGTCTGACGCCTCTGTAGCCGTTTTGGGGGCCTCTCTGGGCCGATTTGGGGCCCTCTTGGGGTGCTCCAGGGCCGTCTTGGAGACCATCTTGGGCGTCTTGGAGGCCTCTTGGGCAGTCTCGGGGCCCTCTTGGGGGCCTCTTGGGCTGTGCTGGGGCCATCTTGGAGGCCTCTTGGGCGATCTTGGGGCGATCTTTGGGGGCATCTGCCACAATCCTTCAGAAACCTAGGAACAATGAATGATTTTTGCCTCGTCGGGCCTTCCTGACGGCCCTCTTCGGGGCCTCTTGGGCCGTCTTGAGCCATTTTAGAGCCATCTTGGGCCGTCTTGGTGGGCTCCTGGCCCGTCTGACGCCGTCGGAAGCCGTCTTGGGGACCTCCCTGGGCCGACTTGGGGCCCTCTCGGGGTGCTCCAGGGCCGTCTTGGAGACCATCTTGGGCGTCTTGGAGGCCTCTTGGGCGGCATCGGGGTCGCGTGGGGCGCGGCGGGTTTGGTGGGGGGGGGCGTAGGGGGTGGGGGGCGGGGGGGCTTCCGTTGGAAGGTTGGCGTCGGGGTAGGTCGTTAATTTTTTTTTCGTATTTTTTTTTTCTTGAGTTATTCTGCACCTTTGAATTTGCAAACCCTCCCTTACCGCCCTTTCTCATCCCGCCTTATTTGTTGATTCTTCTTTTTATGGGGGCGATCTTGGGGGCCTCTTGGGCCGTCTCGGGCCGCTGGAAGGCCGAAAAGGAGCAACAACGAAGATCTTTCAAAACCTAATGACAATCAGCGATTTTGGCCTCTTCGGGCCCTCCTGGAGGACCTCTCGGAGGCCTCTTGGGCCGTCTTGGAGGCCTCTTGGCTCGTCTTGGAGGCCATCTTGGACGTCTTGGAGGCATCTTGGAGGCCGTCTATGGCCATCTTGGGCGGGAAAGGCATTGACAAGTGCAGTTTGTGGTCCCTTCCGGGTGACCAACGGGCTGGGCCGGAGCCCCAGGGGAGAGTTCTGTTGGAAAAAGAACCCAGACCAGAAACGGTAGCGTCTAGCACGCCGGGCACCACCGTGACAAGTACATGGGGCGGCGGATCCATTGGCCTCTGGCCCATCCCGCCACCGTGCTTGGGTCGTTGAATAGAGGCCTCTTAAAGGTCTCTTGGGTTCGCGTGGAAGGCCTCGTGGGGGCCTCTCGAGGGCTTCCTCGGGGCCTCTTGGATCTCCTTTTGGCCCCTCTTGGGGGCTCGGGAGCCTTCCAGGGGCGATCTTGGGGGTTGGTCGCTCGCAAGCTCGGCAAGGCGAGTGGGCAAGTAGATTTGTGAAAAACACAGCAGTCTGTATCCTTGAACACTGTGTCTCTGTTCTCTTCGGCTGGCACCCCAGGGTATCCAAGACGGCCCACGAGGCCCCCAGGAGAGCCCCATGACGGGCCTGTCGAGCCATTTTAGAACATGTTGGAATTTTGGATTCCGAACTGCGCTCCCGAGGCCTCGGAAGAGTCATGACTTTAAGGGTCGCTCTTTGGGAGATGTTACAGTATCGGGAGCATAGCTCGCGCGCCGCTGCCTTGGGCTCAAGGCACGCGCGCCCTATTTGCCCGGATACCTGATGGTATTCGCTATTTGCATGGACATCTATTTGCCCGGACACCGCGAGTGTTCGCTATGTGCTGGAAAGATCATTACATCGATCTTATCCTATCTTACCCATCCACCCCTCATACTGTACCTTCACAGCAGAGCGATGGATGCAATCTGCCAGGCTATATGCCCTATTTGAGTTACCAGGCTCACTTTCGACTTGGTAGCGGAGCTGGCCGCACTCTCGTGTGGTCAGCTCTTGCTCTTCTCAGCCTCATATTCTTCGGCACGATCTTCGTGACCACCTACTACCCTGCGCCACCACTCCCAGTACATTTACGAGGATCTATTCAAGAGCAAGAAGCTACACGAGAGGTACGACGTCTAGACGACCAAATTGGTACCATATACGCTTCATCATTGCGTTACTATCAACCGCTCGGCAACGAGCCAATAACGCAATACATGAAGCAAGGGCGGGGAAACCCGCCAGACAGGGCGCCTCGAAGACTCGACAAGGCGCTACCCCAGCGCGACACCGCTCATCATAACCGCCCTTCGTTACACATTCTCGGGCTAATCGTTTTCGCTATCATATGGTTCGCGCTGGGGGCAGCAATCGCACACATGCGTCGGGGAGATAACAGCACCGATGGGCAAACACATGGCCCATATTGGGACCCTCAGGGTAATGTACCTTTTCGTGAGTACATTTACGAGGCCAACGCGTGGCTCAACGTTACAAGCGGACGTATGACGCCACAGGCCCAAGCGGCCGCAATACAACGCGGCCTGGGAGGCCTAGCGAGGACACTCGCCATGAGGGTACACCGCCAGGATCATCATAAGCCATGAACGCGCCGAAAGCCCCACCCGCTCCCCGCCGCCGCCGCGCCGCACACACAGACCAAGGAACTTATATAAGGTTTAATTCTCCTCAGCTTGAAATTCGAACGCCTGGGAGATTGCTGCACGACAGCTCTCATTCCGGCACACAACCTTATCTCTGACCGTTCTTTCTTATTTTTTCTGGCCCCACTCATCCCTTTATTTCTAATTTTATTTTTTCCGCCTTCTTTTCGCTCTTTCACCTTGCTTTTCCTTTATTTCTTTTTTTTTTCCATGTGCCTCACGGGGAACGAATCGATGTTTCTCTTACCCGATTCGAAATGGCCCGACTTGAGGCACAGTCGGTGGGATTCGACCTTCCCAACTTCCAACTGTTAACTACTATCCTATTCCGCGCCCTAGGCGTCGGCAACCAGAAGGCCATGCAACTCTTACAGCCACTCAATCACCAAATGCCTCGAACACAACAACAGTATGATGAGTTGCTGGAGAGGATGCGTTCGGTAGGCCACCTATCCGAACGATCTCCTGGTAACATAGGATCCGTGTTTGGAAGAGGAAGGGGATCTGGTAGTGGAAATTTCTACACTACCTTGACTACTGAAGCCCAGCCTGGAAACGGGCCCTCAAACATATGGGCCGATGACCCAGGAGAATCCACTGCTTTATTAGCAGGGGATTGATCACAACCAAGCTGGGCAACCAGCCCTCCTTCTAGAGAACCACAGCCACACCGCTCGTTATGGGGGGAATCAAATCCCCTAACCGACGGTGTATCCACCTATTTAGGAGACGAAGACTTCGACTCCGGCACTGATACAGACACCATATCATCGGATGGTGTTGAAGCTCTAGATTGGTCTGATATCATGAATATGGATAATGACAATCAGCGTGCTGAGCATTTATTCTGGCTGTTACAACAGGCCAAGCGAAGGTGGAGGAGGTTCACGCGAAAACCAGTTCGTCGTGTTAGAAGGAGGATACGTAGAAGTTTTAAAGGAAAGGGTAAAGGCAAGCGTGGTCGTCGGAGGTTGAACGGGCGAGGTATCGCGGCATTTCTCCAGAGGCTCTCAGATGAACAACATGATGAGATATTCTTTGGGGGAAAAGGCCGTGGTAAAGGCCGTAGAGAGACCTCAGGTAAAGGCAAAGGTAGGCGGGGAAACCCGCGAGGTAGAGACGGCCAGGTTCTCAAATGCCATGAATGTGGTAGTTCCGATCATCTTGTGCGAGATTGTCCAGCGAAGGGAAATGGAAAGGGCATGTCGTCCGAAGTCCATTTTGGCTCGAGCACACCATCCATTGAGTATCTGAGCCTCCAGGACTTTGAGGCTATGGGACAGATATTTTTCACATGGGTCGTTGGCATGGACAACATTGACGAGCTCGAGGGGTATAGTCATGGATTATGCGCGTATTACCTCGAGTACGTCCGCCGGTTCGTCACGGGCAGTAATGAACTCACTCCCGTGGAACACGGTGCGCTCGGAAACGAGCCTCTTTCCTTCTTCGACTGGATGTTCGGGAACCCAGGCA